AAAGTTCAGTCTGATAAGTGACCTGGAACAATACCCCAATGGTTGTTAGACCATATAAATAATAACAGAACAACTACTGAAATTTCTTGGATTTTTTTTATTTTGCAAACATGAGAACCAATGAAAGTAACAGCTACTCACATCACCAGCATAATGACAAATTGTGAAGTCGCTACGAGCTAATTTTGGCTTGGTAAAGCGCTTGTGGTTTTTGAATGTCTGGTATAGCTTCTGTGCAAAAGTTTCATGCGTTGACCTTGGAAACATGCTGCACGGCAAAAGTCTCACTTCAGCTATGTTGCTCGAAAACAAAACAAGATTTGAGAAAGTATACTGAAAGGAATGGAAATAATAGGCATGACTCTTAGATTGCAGAATAAAAGAAAGGGTCAGCGGTTTGGGGTTCAGACTCACCAAGCTTCATCTAGCAGAGCAATAATACCACCAGGTTTCTGAAGAACACAAAACAAAAAAAAAACATTCACCAAGAATAAGCAATCGATGAAATATTGGCTGTGGGGCAAGAAAACTGGCAACAGGAGAGACAAATCGCCTTGAGAAAAGAAAAGAGAATAAGAAGGGATGGCTTGGTCGCTTAAGGAGTATCATAAAAAAATTATGAGTAAGCTAATAGGTCCATTGAACAGTGAGCATAAACATACAGAAAGGTATCATCAACCACAGACCTTTTCTATCAAGTCTAAAATATCTTGATTGTCTACGAACTCTATATAGCTCCAGTTGATTTCCTCTTTCTTATATTCCTCTTGCTCCATTTTAAAGACATGCTGCACAGAAAGAAGTTACACACCTCAGAACAATGGGGACTGCAGAAATTAAGAAAAGACAAATAATCGAAAAGTGAAAGAGCTTGTTCTAATCAAACCTGATTAAAATGCTGTTGAAGTTTTTCGTTGGTCAAATTGATGCAAAATTGCTCAAAACTGCAGTAAAACTTGCGATTGTAAGTACTAGACCAAAGAACAACAAGAAACAGTCATGAGTAATTCTTTAAAGTCAAACAATGACGCAGTATCAGTTGTTACTCTCCTAGCAAAACAAAGTAAGTCGGATAACCTCACCAGCTCACAATTTGATAGGGAGTAAAAAATCTCATCCGTCCATGTTAAAACAAGCACTAGCTTGAGTTGACTATGAAACTGATTAGACCCACATGTTATGGTGAAGTATCAAAGTTAGATCCACTTTATCAGAGAACCCCATCTAACCAATTATAAAAACAACAAGCATACCACTTAAGCACCTGTTTGTCTTGAAACTCTCGAATCCATAAATATCAAGAACACCAATCAAGTACTTTGAGTCATGATCTTGACCAATTGAGCTATTAATCTTATCAACAAGCCTGCAAAGACCATAAGGGATTGGTATAGAACAATGATGGAAAAGCACCATCGAAGCTTATTCCGTGAAATAAGGAGAAGCAGCTATTGAATATGTTCCTCAGGGTAGAATTGAGAAACTCACCAGTCAAACAACCTTGAGTACATGACTTTAGCCAAAGCATCTCTACTAAGAGTAGCAGCTTCTGGATCAAGAGTTTTTGTGATGGTTTCATCACGAGTTACCATGATACGCTTGCATAGAGAATCCTCAAGTGCCTTTTCATCGCAGCTGGAAAAGAAGACGATATAAATAAGGAAACCTACTTCAGTCCACAAATAGAAGAAAACAAAACAAAACCAACATTTTCCGCTCTATTAGTTGGGCATTTACCTGAGAAGCTCAGCTGCAGTTTTCAGATGAAACAAGGATTTATCATCTTTGGGTATCGATGAATCAATCTCTGCTCCCTTAGCAAATTCGACATTCCCGAGATGGAGAATGGCTGCCACGACGCTGAAAATAGCATCCTGAAACAAGATATCAGGAAAGGATAGAATCCGTTTACAGATGCAATATCGCAGCTTTGGCTAAAATCTGACTGTTGGAGTTCTGTGATGACTACCTGTTCCTCCGTACTGATCCCGACGACATCCATGGCCCGTCGTGTGGCATGATATTCCTCCGCATCATTTATACTATCCAACTCTAGACATTTAGACTGATTGAGATAGTGGTATTTTTTTGGTTCCTCCAGCTTGAATTTCTTCACATCCTGATAGTACAAAAGATAATTTCAGATAACAAGATGTGCGTTCGTATGTTACATTCTCCGTAGTGAATTACAAAACTTACTTCTTGGGGAGCAGCACAAAGCATGTAGAAACAGTGATAGTTTCTTTCAGGATCAGAGACCTGACAAACTCGCGATCGTTCCAACAAATAAGTTCTTATGGCAGCTCCTGATATCCTTCCCTTTTCGTCAAACTGAATCTCCACGAACTTACCAAAACGACTATAAAGTACACAAATATGTTAAGAAACACCCAAATCAAAAAAATCTCAATAATATAGATGAAAGAATGCGACTGAAATATGAGGTAACTAGGTTACCTGGAATTATTGTTCCTGACAGTCTTTGCATTTCCAAATGCTTCTAAAACAGGATTCGACTGAATAAAAGACACAATTAGAAGCTTATAAGAAACAGGTCAAAGCAATAAAAGGGAAAATCAACATCATATGCATATCGAAGTGAGCATATAGATGCTGATTATTCAGTTTGAATTAATATGGATGACTACTAGCATTATTTTTCTGAAGTTTCAGTTATTTGTTCACTCTACAGTTGCTCAAGAAAAGTAAACTCCGCTGAAATGAATATATGACCATCCTCTGAAGTCTGACGTTTTAGTTATTTGTTCACTTATCCAAAAACTTGATTTGACTAAATGAAAGTATAGATGATGCTTTTTTCACCTCCAACACTTTCTGTTCAACACTTCTTCCCTCAGCAGCAGCTCTCCCTCCCATGTAAGCAAGATATCTCATTAGCAACTTTGTGCTTTCAGTTTTACCAGCACCACTTTCTCCACTAACCAGTATAGATTGACTTACTCCATCATTAATCATCTGTCTGCATTAGAACGAAACGAGAAAGCAGGCAATTTCACATATAAGGATCACAACAATAACAAATAAAAGTAAAACAGTTTACCAATGTGTGTATTAATTACCTATATGCAGCATCTGCTACAGCGAATGGATGTGGACTCAGTTCTCCTAAGGCAGCTCCTTTATACTGAGCCATCATATGGCTACTATAAAGATGGGGAAGTCTTCTAAACGGATTAACAGCAATCAGTATGCTTCCTGTATAAGTCTGAAAGTAAATAAAAGTTTAGTCCTCGAATATGTTGAGTACATATATATTCGAAATCAATAGGAATTACTCACATAAATTTCATTTATATCATATCTTGAATGCAAATTCTGTAAAACTCCGGGTTCATGCAAATAAGCAAGTCTAGTCATATCATCCACTCCAGATGCTGGTGCTTCCACATCTTTAGGATAAGCATTAGAGATTTTCGTAACAACCTGAATTTTCCAAAAATAGAAAAAAAGAAATCAAAAACTGTTTTCTCAAAAACTTTCTTGTGATTGTACTTCACATGAGAAGCACACATACATGTTTCCCTGAAGTGCATAGAACTTTGATCTCATCGCCATTAACTTGTACAACTTCACCATCAATCCATGCTTCATCAGGATCCTCCACCCACACAAACGACCCAACTGAAGGATTGAAGTTAGCAACCTGTAGAAACAAAGGGTGTCAAAGGCCTAGTTCTCACGAACTGTCAAATTCATTTCACGGTTCACTTCCACAGAGTACTCATCGCATGCTTTTGAGCCTCAGCTTATTTGTCTCACAAGACTTTTAAATTACATTGCAACTGCCATTACATAAAATATATCCAAAATGATCTAAAACCAAGCTGAAGGAACCAAAATAAAAGCCTTGGACGATTTCATCGCCGTAAACGAGCAAAATCGGAAAAAGTTGCTCTAAGTTTGTTGTGGCAGGACAGTAGAATCAAGAAAGTTCCTCTCAGCTTGGAAAAAGGAACTAACAATTGCTTCTTGAGCTCTCACAAGCTCCTTAATGATAATCATAACTCTTTAAACAACTACATTTCAGACTATAAAATTTGATTTATAATCAATTGACCAAAACCATAAATAGCGAAAAAAAATCAAACAAGATTTAGACCAATCGTCAAACTCAAAAACAGACAAGTCGTAGTTGAAGTCAAATCTCTATAAATCATACAGAAGAAGACTTCAAAGTCATGCACAAAGCCATGATCCGAAATTAGATGCTCTTAAAATCGCTAAATTACCCCCAAAAAAAAGACAATAAAATTAATTTCCCCAAAATCAAACAAATCTTACCATTTCGTTTCGCAGATCAAAGACTTCAGATTTCTGGATCTAGATTGAATCAAATGACAACTTCCGAGCGAAGAACTTGAAGAAACTGAGATTTGGTAGAGAAGACAGACGAACTTTGCAAATCTAAACGCGTTTCTGGAAAAAATTTCCCCCCGAATATTTTTTGAGTATTATTATTTTTGTTTCTCTTTTTTTTTTTTTTTTTTTTTTGCTTTTTCCCTTTTCGTGCCTCCCTCCTCTCTTCCACTTTCTGTGGGGATTTGGTCTGAATTTTAATTACTTAACAGCATCAATTTGCAATTAAAACATTGATTAAGACATCTTATTCCCAATTTACCCCTTGATTTTGTATAATCACGGAGCTAGGTTTCAGACACGCTAAACTAATTTTGTCCGTTCGCGAAATATATATTTTTCTCAGATTAAATTTTGTTTTTTTTCTTCTAAATTTTTGTTCTTGACGTCAGCAGACTTATTATATGATGTTCATGTGGGACAATTTAAAACACAGTTTATATATTTTTAATCCATTTTTTTTTTGGACAAAGATATAAATATAATTAAGATATTAACATAACTAACTAATACACCGAATTCAACAAAAAAAAGACATCATACATATTGTGATTTTTTTTTAATTTTTCATTAGTACTTTGTTCACATGGTACACGTAAAGTACGACGGTGTCACACACACAAACGAGAATCTGACTTGGAATTTCTCGAAACATATTTTATTTCACTTTCATACAAAATAAATACAGACGCATTTAAAAGACTTTTTAGACGTAAAGAAGACAATGAAAATTACGGTTATGCCCCCAAGAACGTTGCAAGGTTTGGATCAGTACGAAATGGAAGACTAGTTCGAGCTCCTAAACCTCTGCAGCAGCAAGCAGCCTACACAAATCTCAAACGCAAATCCTTCATTCACCAATTCTGATCATAACGCGTTTTGAAAATAGCGTTTGAATAAAAGAAAAAAAGAAGACGCAAACTTACGACTCGAGATGCAAATGTCAACATTTCCTCAGTAGCCATATCTGTGCACAAACCTGTAAAGAATTGGAGTCGGTTAGATTCGGTTTAAATACGTTTGGTTTACTACGGTTTAGTGAAAGCGTATTACCATAAAGCAAAGCTCCCGTAAACGCATCTCCAGCACCAGTTGTGTCTATAAGTTCCGATGAAGGTATTTTCTCAGCTGTTACTATAACCAGTCTCCCTGTAACATTCCCTGTCAGTCTAGTCACTAGCTGAAAATGGTAAGAGAAATGAAGATATTTTCATTAAATAAAAGTGGAACTTGTGAGAAATTATGTATCTGAAGACGTTATTTACCGATGAATTGCAGACAGGTAAGACACTTGTAAAGTCTGTGCTTTGTTTCAGAGACTCGTTTAGTTCATCTATGTCTGTCTCTTCTTCCGACCCTGAAACCTCTGTAGTTACAGAAACGGAAAGTTAGCATGTACATAGATTTCGAATGATATCTTGACCAACTATATGACTAGTTGCTAGCTTAGAGCCTTATACTCAATTACTCATTCTTAATAAGTTGGTTCTATAAGGTTTCAATACTACCCTTAAGGTTGTATAGTCCTACTGTCCTCGTATTTGTGAGTACCACCCTCAATGTTATGCAAGATTATATAGTCCTAATATATGTCGGGTTCATTCGTTTCTCATGAAAGGAACATGCAATTGTATGTGACAAGTAAAAATATTGAAACAGCAATGGCCATTTATGGAGAATATCTGTGATCCTAAGTCAAAACCTGTGATCATTGGAGAATCGTAAATAGGGAAAATCGAGAATTACTTACCATTGGAACATCTTTCGAGCATCACACAACCGTGTTCCCCCAAAGTCATGATCACAAATTTTAGCTTCGGTAATCTTATGAGCATAGAGAGAAGTGCTCTGGGAGATGATGGTGACTCTGTCCATTGCTGTTTTTATCCGATCAAATAAGTCCACCATTAAGGATTCTAATCATTCTATAAACCAAATGTGATACAATTTTGATGCAAGATCATGTCTAACTGGTTACAAAACCAACACATTGTCGGAGTTTTAGGTGTCATAAAAAGTACATGAACCTTCTAGTTCATCAGAAGTTTTCATAGGTTCATTTAAGCTCTCATAAGTTATAGATTTCCAGGTTTTAAAAAACTTTCCTCAATCTTTATAACCACAAAAAACAAATTTCTGGTACCAACATTTAGTCATATACTAATTAATCGCACTATCATCAATACAGAGCTTTTTAAGAAAGTGGTATGTAAAGTTTAAGAAAGTGGTATGTAAAGTCTATTTGATATGATTCTCTAATATTCAACACCACAACCTATGAACCAATTGATCCGTTAATTACAGAAATGTTCCGAGAACACTCTCACCTGAGGGAAGTTAGTAGAGCAAATAGCATAATCAGCCAAGTCAAGGAGCTCATCTAGCCCTGCCCTTTTTTTCTCTGCATTAATTAAGATTGATATATTCTTGCTATGTGCCTGCATAAAAACCATAGATGAGTCAGAAAGAGCTGTAACATACATAAACAGAACTAAGTAAAACGCACAAATGTGAGTCCAAAACACACCAAAGAGAGCATTTGTCACCTTTTGTGCAAGAAGCAATTCGGCTTCACGGGACCTTCCATTTACATATAGAACTCTTACTCCATCAAGAACATCAAAAAGGAGAGATTCCGTAAGGTCATCTGGGAGCAAAGGAGGATATCCTGGAGTGTAAATACACGTTCGAGTATTCCTACAAATTTGTTACAAGAATAGTTTCAAAACAATAGGTAACTTTAAAATTTGCTAGAAATTTGTTATATCATGCTTTTTTTCTAGATTTAGCAAAATAGAAAGTTCAAAATAAGATCACATAAACACAACATAACAAAAGACCATGTACTCACGTTTGGTTATCTACAATGACGTAATTAAAATGTGAAGCTCCGTCTTTAGCATTCTGAGACGATGAGAAAAATAAAAAGTTTGTGTTTTATGACTACATTGAATTGATATACATTGTATCAAAAAAACTTTGTTTATGATCTTACCATACAAAACGAAGTATCCACACCGCTAGATTCGAGTTCCTCTATCATATAACGCCCGTGAGAATCATCAGCAACCTAAAGCAAATATCTAATTCAGTTGTTTTTGGTGATTCAAGGGCTACATTTTTGCAGTTTATGCCTCTAATTTTTCAAAAAAATTTTATAACTCAGGTGATCCTAAAGGTTTTCTAGGCCCAAAGACTAATCTCCAAATCAAAACAAAGAAACAGTTTCAAAGATTAAACGAAAACATTGTTTATAACCTTAGCTAAAATTCGAGAAGGCAAACCCAAACGAGCAACACATGTTAAAGAATTCCCAGTGTTTCCACCTCCTTGGACCTGAAAAAATGAACCATAGAAATGAAAATCTCCAGAAAATGAAATAAAGTCAACGACGAATAAACAACAGATGATCTCGTTCATCGACCTTGAAGCTCGTGCCTCGAATCTTTTGATCGGGAATTGGAAAAGACGATACTGTGACTAAGTAATCCAGACAAAGTTGACCACAACCAAGCTACACAATTGCAGAAAATCTAATTCAGTTTTATCAATTCATGAGAAGAAAAGAGAGAAAAAGAGATACGCACGACGATTGGTTGGCCGGGAATTGCGTCGTCGGAGCAAGATGACATGATCGGAGCTCCGGGAATGTGTTAAATTCGAAGTGGCAGAGAGAGGGAGTGGGATTCGGTATTTATTGGAAAGCAAGAATTTTGGTTTGGTTTAACCGAAAACCAAATCGAACCGGAATTAAATTAGGTGGTGACTGAAACGAAATTTCCAGGATTTAATTTTTTTTTTTTTTCTGGTCTTTTGCAGTGCATTTTCTTAGACATAAAAAATAGTATTAGGCAACTTTTTGGGTATTTCATGGAATTTCCCTAGTGGAATATAAATTGGATGATAAAGACTAACCATAAAAGACCAAACATCATCAAATCATCAAATATTATACAACAATCAGAGACCACAAAATTCAATTATATGTTTCATGAGCACCTTTTTCTTTGTCATTATTTGAGAGTAAGTTTAGGTTCGATATTTTAAAAGACCAAAGACCCAAAACCATTTTTTAATTACTTGTATGCTTTTTCGTTTTTCAGTTATTTACATTAGCTCAAGGTGTTCGAATATTTAGGTTGGTTCTAATTGGGTTTCATTCTGTTCTATTCTTTAGAATCTATATAGGTACCGAGAAAAACATTTAGTTCAAATTTTATTCTGTTCAGATAAATTCTAATAATCGACTGAATAACTGAGTAGGAATAAAAAAAATTCACGTATTTTTCAGTTCGATTCTAAAATATCCTAATAACCAAAATATTTTGGATATTTGTTTTAGATATTTCAGATTTTTCGAATGTTTTGTTGGATAATTTTCGTAAATTTTGTTCGGTTGTTCGAATATCTTTCGATTATCCAAGTACCTGGAATATTCAATTTGATTCCGATTTTGGTATTATTTAGTCCGCATATATTATCCAAAGTCAGAGCTAACTTATACAGGGCTTTAGTATATACTAGTATTACGTACGGGGCAAAACTTTAATCAAACTTACAGATAAACCAACTAATTTTTTTCTTTACCACTTCAATCTTAAAAGATAAATCTCTGTCACATGTTGTTATATTAACAAAATAAAAATCAATTTTAATGTATACCTTAAAATGTGGGTTTGTTCTTGAGACAGCGTGAAGAGTTTAGGAGTGCAGATAATTGGTGGTGTTTTGGTCAGTATAGTTCATCGTCGTGGCCATGGTGTTGTCTTCTTGAGTTTGAAGCATGGCACCACCAAGTAAATACAAAGTTTATGAATTCACTGTAGTTAAGCTTTTACTGAGGCTATGTTTTGAGTTGTTAAATGCATCTTGATCTGCTATAAAAAATTTAGCATTTCTTGTAATCCTGAAACAAAACCTCAATGAAAATATAAACGGATGAGTTATTATAAATCATTTTTTCCAAGCAAACATCACTTGTAGAAAGAGTTTTCTCTGCAAAACAGGGTATACACGTAGACAAAAGTTGTGTGTTTTAAACAAAGTCTAAATGCAGACAAAAGTGACGCTCTTATTAATGTTTTTCAACCTTCATATTACTACATGTACCACCAGGGGCGGACCCAAAATATTTTTTTACCCGGGTCAAATTGCTATAACATTATATCATTTAACCAAATTATGCTAGATTTAATTATACAAACCCTATGATTCTAACAAGAAATTTTAAATTTTAGGGAGGTCAGCTGACCCTCCTTTGATACACGTGGGTCCGCTACTGTGTACCACCACAATTAAAACTTGCAATTTATTTGAACACAACAAAAAAAACGTCGAGAATGGATATATCTGTTGTTTGTTACTTTGCTAAGTTTTAAACTCTTAACATCTTAGCATCATACTAATAGACAGGATGGTAACAGAAATAGATTTTTATAGAGTTGAACAAACCAACTATTGGTTTGACAATAAAAGAAAATAGAATTGGATGAAACTGTATAGATCATAAATCAAAAGGAGGCTCTGCTATCTAAGGTTAGAGCAGAGTAATTCACTTCGGGTCATAAATAAGCTTCACATTATTTGGTACTAATTGAGATTCAAGTACCTGTAGATAAGAACATCTGTTTGGGGTGATAGATTTCTGTCTGAAAGTTGTCGGAATGAATTTCGATTCAAAAAACGGCGGCGTAATTATAAACATCTTGAACATAAACCTGCAAATCCAAAAGTAAAATCAATCATGTAAGACGGGAACAAATTGAGAAATAGAGAATTTGATGATTATAAAAACGGCGATTAACAAAATAAGCATACAATTATAGATCTTCTCAGTGCAACGACTATTCTTCGTAAAGAGATGAATAAATACTACATGTTTGTGTGCCAGAACGTATATACACAAAATTACCATCAAAAGGTCATTGATTTGAAATATGTAAAAGATTTTGGGTGCATACCACTAAGCCAATGAACGGGAGATAGTTCTTTTGATTGTGGTTTGGGGAAGCCGCTTCTTCAGGATAGAAAATGCATGACATAATATATGATTTTGAATATAAATATTGTTAACATGAATATGAAACTTATTCATTTCATAAGTTTTTTTTTTTTTCTCTTTTCTGAATTTTCTAATATTATGTTTTAACTACAAGACAATATATATTTGTATTCTTCAACTACAACCAGAAAAAGTTATTATATTCTAGATATTTGTAATTTTTATAGAAATCAAAAGCCTTTTTTTTTTGAATTGACTGTAAAATTGTATTCAATCAAAAAAATTGTTTACTTGTTTGAAAGGAAGTAGAAGAATTTTGAAGCATAAATCAATGTTTACTCTCTATTATACACCATAAAACGTGTGGTAAACTACACTCTTAGAACTCCTTTGTACTAAATCGGTTTCGAAAGCCATTTCAACATAAATATTCCGAAAATATTATGTAGATTGTAGAGGAATATGATACATCCATCTTGAATATTTCTGTTGGAATTTCCTAATGTTCCAACTCTTTTTTTTTTTTTTTTGAATATCCAGATTTTCAAGAACCATAATACTGTATATATTTTGCATAATTATAGAAACTGAAATTATTAAAACAGAAAAAAATCGAGGAGTTTTCAAAAGATTTGGGAACTATCTTTTTGCAATTCTATTAATATAGAAAATCAAAAATATCAAATATATGACCAACCATTTAATGATTGTTATTTTCAGACATAAAAAAAAAATGAAAGATCATATATAACTAACCGTATAGCCCTTAACGATAGGACTTAACGATATAATAAACACTTTGTTTTCGACCTCTCTTCTCCAAAAACAACATCGCCGAAATTAATTGAAAATCCGGTGAGACGATTTTGAATTCACTCCTTCCTTCTTCTTCTTCCTTTTCTTCATTATCTCAATTGAGCTAGTTTTGGTATCACTCCTGACGAAATTTGAATCTCTCTGCCATTTTCTCTTCTCGCATCTGTGCTTTGGAGCTGTATATGTTTCTCGTGCGACTGGGCTATTTCGGGAAAGATTTAGGTGTTTCTGGGTAGTCACTGCTGACCGATTTCTGTTAAATGATTGATTCAGATATTTGAATTCACATCGAAACCAAATCTTTGCTTTGGGATTGAATACTGTTTTTTCTTAGCATTAATTTCGTTTTGGGTGAGTGATTTGATATTTAGAGGGTTAATTTCTGATTTGGTGATATTTTGAGAATTTTGGGTTCTTTATTATTATAATTGGTAGCGGGAAATTTATACGTTCCTTTGTGGACCTTTCAACTTCTGAATGTGGAAAGATTTTTGAGAATCTTAGAAAGTTATCATCATCCTTACGTAAGAGTGATTCCATATGGAGAATGGGTTATGGGAGGTTTTAGGTTCAAAAGGGTTGTTGAAGAAACACGAATTCATTAGGATTTTGGTTCAATGCTTATACTCTTTAGGATTCAAGAACTCTGCTTCTTGTTTGGAAATCGAGTCGAACATCTCGTGTAAATCTGCGGATTATGAGTCTCTTGAAAAGCGAGTTTTGAGTGGTGATTGGGATAGTTGCGTAGCGGTTCTGGACAGGATTTTTGATCATTCCAAGGATGATACGAGAAACACGGCTGTATATTTAGTGTTTAAGCAATGTTTGTTGGAGTATTTGAAACGTGGGGATGTTTCTTTGGCCTTGAATGTGTTACGGAAGCAAGCTCCGATGTTAAGGATGGGGAAAGAGAAGATTCACAGGCTTGCTTGTGATATTGTTTATTCGAAAGAGATGGAGTCCGGTGAAGTAGACAGCTGTTTGGTTCAGGGTTTGAGGAAAAAGTTGTTGGTTGAACTGGAGAAGTTGATTCCCTTGCCAATTGTTATTCCTAAGAGAAGGTTGGAACATTTGGTTGAGACTGCTGTGATGGACCAGATTGATTCATGTCTCTATCATAACTCATGGGATGCAGTATCACTTTACAAGGATCACTGTTGCGGTAGAGATCAAATTCCTTCAGAGACAGTCCAGGTGTTGTTTTCTGCCTTAGTAAACCATATGTTATCATTTTCATAAACTTGTTAAATTTCTTTACGATGATAGACGGATATGGTTGCAATTTGGTGGACAATACACCAGAAATTCATGTCTTCTGGATTGTTGTTTATGGTTCCTATAGTTTCTCAATCTCTTATTATCTTACAGATTTTGATGGCACACAAAAATGAAGTCTGGTTTGTGCAATTCTCTAATAGTGGCAAATATCTGGCCACTGCATCAAGCGACTGTACAGCTATAATATGGAAGGTAAATATCTTAGACCATTGGTTTCTCTTATTTTTGCCTTATGTCATTGAGAAAGAGACCAGATGAATTAGCTCTGATGGGTAAGAGAACCTTATGAGGTTTCTTCTTGTATATCTCTTCACGCAGTGAGGTGGAAAATAAATAAATTAAGGAAATAACATTTGGATGTCTTGGCTTGAAAGCTTGGTATATAAGGTAGAAAGCCATTTGTGACAACAAAAAGGGACAATAACTTTGATATTGTAATTCATAGTGATTTGTCGTTTTGAGCCATGTAATTAGCTTTTAGTACTTCAGGGTTGTGTGTATTTCTTTAGTTTTCTATGATAATTTTGAGACGGTGTCTTTAAGGACTAAAAAAGTTATTTTTGGTCTTGTGACAGATCGATATAATTTTGTATTGGACTTAAACTTCTTCTTTCAGGTATTAGATGATAGCAAAGTCGAACTGAAGCACACGCTTGAGAGCCACCAAAATCCAGTTTCTTTTGTCTCTTGGAGCCCTGACGATACTAAACTGCTTACATGCGGAAACGCCGAGGTTCTTAAGCTATGGGATGTTGACACAGGTGTGTTGAGACACACATTTGGAAACAACAATACTGGATTCACTGTCAGCTCTTGCGCATGGTTCCCTGACTCAACTCGGCTTGTCTGTGGCAGTTCTGACCCAGAAAGAGGGATTGTAATGTGGGATACTGATGGAAACGAGATCAAAGCCTGGAGAGGAACGAGAATTCCAAAGGTTGGTATTGGTGAAAAGATTTGCTTATCCTTGTTTTGGTATTCAAATACTTGAAATTCGAAATGCACAATTTCCTAATAGGTAGTGGATTTGGCTGTGACGCCGGATGGCGAGAGTATGATTACAGTGTTTTCGGATAAAGAGATCCGGATCTTGAATTTAGAGACAAAAGTCGAACGTGTAATCCCTGAGGAACAGCCAATTACTTCCCTTTCGATTTCTGGTGATGGAAAGTTTTTTATAGTCAACTTGAGCTGCCAAGAGATACATCTTTGGGATCTTGCTGGAGAGTGGAAACTACCATTGAAGTTCTCGGGTCACAGGCAGAGCAAATACGTGATACGGTCATGTTTTGGTGGGTTGGACAGTTCGTTCATTGCCAGTGGAAGCGAGGATTCACAAGTAAGCACACAACATACATATCTGCAGACCGACTCAGTTTCTTTCTGGTTGATTTTTCACTGAGATTGATCTGTTGTCCACAGGTTTACATATGGAATCTAAAGAACGCAAAGCCGCTTGAAGTGTTATCAGGTCATTCCATGACTGTGAACTGTGTTAGCTGGAACCCGAAAAATCCTCGGATGTTGGCCTCTGCTAGTGATGACCAAACCATCCGTATTTGGGGACCGGGCAAACCGAACAAACCCGAGAACTGATTAGATAACCAGAAGGCGTAGTAGCTTTAAACCAGGACCTAGTTCTAGTAGTTCCACATTTGTGTATAGTTCATTTCTTTTGTTCCTTATTGGCTTTGCAGAACAATTTCTTGCTTTTTGAGTTTTGGTACACGGAGAACCGGATTTGAGATGACTAGATGAGACAGAGTTGAAACCAAACCGGTATAGGTGAAAAACGGAAACAAGCTACTATATGTGTCCGAGGGTTAGGTGGTCGGCAATTGTTTGTTGATCACAACAAAACTTAGCTAAGTTGTTTCGTTGGTCCTTTGTTACAATGTGGGTCCACCGTTATCTACTTTTTTTTTTTTTTTTTTCAGACAAGGTCGGTTCATAGCCAATTCGTATTGTCCGGAGTAACGCGAAATAGTGGAATAGAACTTCGGTGAAAAAGTAGAGTCAAATAGACTTAGCTACTTGAATAAAAACACATCCCCATGATCTACTATATTCCATATGTAAACCTGCTGGTTATATATATATATATATATATATAATTAAACTATACTAAACTAATACATAATTCGAAACATGGAATTTTACATCTTTCTATATTAAAAAATATTTGAAATGAATTTTAACAGATTCTTATATGTAAACTATGACTCTATTAAGTGATAAAATCTAAAAAATATTTCAAAAGATGATAAAATCTTCACAAACAATCACATGAATAGTTAAATCAAAATTAAAAAAAGAGAACTGATATACTCTCTTGGATCTTAAAATATTTTTGGGTAATAGAATTGTTCTTAGAAAAACAATGGAGATAGTTTCGAAATTGACGAAATTAATAGGGGTTAAAAAAAAAAAGGTTGTTTAAGATAATTAGGAAAAATAAGCAGCCACTGAGTGACATGATCACATAAACAGAGACACACTTACTTGAAATAGAAAAACAAAATGAGATCCTTTTAACAACAACAACAACAACAACATCTCACAGGTCTCTTAAGACGGTCCTAAACAAAAAACACAACTGTTTAGGTTTCGTCGTCGACGCGCTCATCAACAAAGTCCCAGACGAAGAAATTTAACCAATACCATATCTCGAGGGACGAAGCGCGTTACGATTTAGATCGGAGATCTCACCGAGATCGCCGGTGAATTAGGGTTTGAATTTTGGTTTCCAAGATGACTCAATCTATCTGTTCGTCGTCTCAAGATCAATCTTCTTCTCCTCGTTCTTTGATTCCGCCACGCAAATCGGCGACGAATTTTCACCGCCGCAGGTTTTTTTATTGATACTTGCTTCTCAATTATGGGAACTAGATTCGTCTTGTTTCTTTGTAGGACATTATAAAAGCTTGTTCAGGGAGATCACTGAGAATTTTGGTTAGCTTAAGGCATTTTTGGAAACTGGATCTTGAGTTTTCTAAATCTGGAATTGGAATTTGTTGTTTAGGGGGAGGAGTGTATTTAGTATGTTGGTTCAGAGGGAAATGTCACCAAATGCGAAGTTTGTACCAAGGAAACGGTGGGGGAAGAGTAGATGGTATACTGATTCTTCATGCGGAACCAACAGCGAGCCGTTGAGAGAGGCGGGACAAAGTCTTACTTCATGGTACACTTCATGTCTCTTTAGTTGCAAAGGACCTTAATGTCTAAGATTCTCATTGTAATTGGTGTTTCTTTATGAAGGGTTGAGGCAGAGTCATTGCAGCATTTATCTGCAAAATATTGTCCTCTTGGAGCTCCTCCGAGGTCGACTATTGCAGCGGCTTTTAGTTCTGATGGAAGAACTCTTGCTTCTACACAGTGAGTATCATGGAGAGGAGAGCTTTATTCTTTGCTTTTTGCCTTCGAATTCACACCTTTTTTTTTTGTTTTGTGTAGTGGTGATCATACTGTAAAGATTATTGATTGTGAAACTGGAAACTGCTTAAAAGTTTTGAACGGCCATCAAAGGACTCCTTGGGTGGTAAGTTTGAGAATGCTACCTCCCTTTTCTCAACTTTATTACGTATCCCTTTGCTGCGTTTGATATGTAGTACCTTTATGAACATAACTACGTATAGATAATTCAATCTCGGATAGTGAAAGGAATTTTGCTCATTCTTGTGGCATCTACTCTGTTGGTTGTTGAGGGGTGTTAAGTTATGCTTTTGTGGCGGTGTGTTGCATCGTAAAATGAACACTACTGCAACAAATTTAAAAGTGTTTCTGTTGTTGTTAATCAGATATTCACCTAGTTTAGTGTAGCAACACGTTACACGCCATTTATATCTAATGTTATTTGAGTTTCTACAGGTCAGATTCCACCCGCTTCATTCAGAAATAGTTGCTAGTGGAAGTTTAGATCTTGAGGTCCGCTTATGGAATATCACAACTTCTGAATGTATTAGATCTCATGTATTCTGTAAGTCCTAGGAATCAGAACACTGTGTTTCTTTTCGTAGTTCTGCCTACCATCTTACCAGTTTTAATTTCTTCTTTTTTTTCTCTTGCCAGATCGTCCTATTGCTTCTATCGCTTTCCATGCTGAGGGTGAACTACTTGCTGTTGCTTCTGGTCATAAGGTGAGTTTTCCCTTTTAAGTCTCCCATGGAACGCTAGCCAGTTGCAGGTGGCACCTCCTTTTAGAAAGATCTCATAAGTTTGATTCATGATATTTTGCAGCTGCACATGTGGCACTACAATAGGAGAGGAGATGAATCATCACCAACCGTTGTATTGAAGACGAGGCGCTCTCTGAGAGCTGTACACTTCCACCCTCATGGGGCACCATTTCTCTTGACCGCAGAGGTGAGCTACCTTATTGGGATTCATTTGGTTTTTGTTTTCCATTCTGCCTGCTTACATTCTAACCTTAAGTGGCAGGTGAATGAAATTGATTCATTAGATTCTTCAATGTCTAGAGCAACATCTATGGGATACTTGAGGTATCCGCCCCCTGCTATTTTGTTCACAAGCACGGAAAGCAATCGAACTAGTTTGGCAGCAGAACTTCCCCTTGTGCCACTTCCACACATGTCCGTGCCTGCACCTTCTGGAGGTGAACCAAGAATTGGTCAATATACTACTGGTAATACTGGTCAAATTAGTTCCCAATCAGGGTTTCAGAATCTTCAGAGCTCTTCGGAAAATGAGAACAGAACATCGTCTCTTCCTTTTCCCTTGGCTACATCCAGTGGTCCTTTTGTTTCAAATAGTGTTCCAGGAAATTCTCCTAGCAATATACTTTTTACCCGAGCTGGAGATAGAACTCCTGCAGTTGATGGCATGAATGTAGATGAAGCTCAACCTGTTGGAAGAAACGGAATTCCTAGCCAAGTTTCAACTCGATCTGATTTCCCTGAGCTTGGACAGATTCGGCAATTATATCACTTTAGGGATAGAGTTTCCTGGGAGTTACCTTTTCTACAAGGATGGTTGATGGCTCAAGGTCATGGTGTTTCTAATCCAGTGGTTCCTCCTACTGGCAGTAGTAATCATGGCATCGCAGCTCCATCTTCAACATCTCGTTTATCAACAGCCAGTCTGGAGGCTGCAGTAGCGTTATTAGAAATCCCGAGTGGTGTTAACTTACATGCGGTGTCTGGAAGAGGCAGAGCCCAGGAACAAACTTCACAACCCCAATTCTCGGGATCTGGATTACCGGAAGGTGTGTCTTCTCATAACACGCAACATGGAAGTGATGCTCAACCTGTAGTGAACAGGGTCCAGTCTGAGCTTGCAACCTCAATTGCTGCTTCGGCAGCAGCAGCAGCAGCTTCTGCAGAATTACCCTGTACTGTCAAACTCAGAGTGTGGTCGCATGACATTAAAGACCCATATGCACAACTGAAGTCCGACAGATGTCTATTTACAATACCGCATGCCGTCCTTTGCAGGCAAAGCTCCTCCTTTACACTTGAATGCTTATGATGTTAAATTTTACGATTTGATATATATTAATATCTCTGCTTCTTTGATGTGTTCAGTGAAATGGGAGCTCATTTTTCGCCATGCGGGAGATATTTAGCAGCCTGTGTTGCATGTGTTTTTCCTCATGCTGAGATAGATCCTGGACTGCAGACACAAGCCCAACAAGATTCAGGGCTTGCAACTTCCCCAACTCGACACCCTGTCACAGCACACCAAGTCATTTACGAGCTTCGTGTGTATTCTCTCCAGAAGGAAAGGTAATTGCCACTTCCAATATCTCATTGTGCTAATTCTACCATCTTGAAATGCACATCCCTCATGTGTTTTCTATGAATACAGTTTTGGTTCAGTACTTGTGTCACGGGCAATTAGAGCTGCACATTGCTTGACCTCTATCCAGGTTAGTCGCCTTTTGAGAATAATCATTCATATTTAATTTTTATCGTTTCTGTGTTTCAGATGGGAACTATTTGGTACCCTACTTGTTTTTGCTTCATAGCACAAAATTTTGGAAATCTGCAGTTTGATAGTGTTGTTTAGCTTCTGAAATCATTTCAATTCACATATGATGTTAAGTAACTTGTGAGATATATATACTAGAGAAAATTTATGTACGTAACCAAAATATAACATGGTGCAGTTCTCACCCACCTCGGAGCATATACTTCTTGCATATGGGCGGCGTCATGGTTCTCTTTTGAGGAGCATTGTTAGTGATGGTGAAGCAACATCACATTTTTTCACAGTGTTGGAGGTAAAGCCTTATGCTACTATATCCGTGTCATGGTTTGTATATATATATACTTGGAGATATAACACATAATTTGTTTGTATGGGCCGGTCAGATATACAGAGTTTCAGATATGGAGCTTGTGAGAGTACTGCCAAGTTCAGATGATGAAGTAAATGTTGCTTGTTTTCATCCTTCTCCTGGAGGAGGTCTTGTTTATGGGACAAAGGTAAACCATATTAGATCGGATCATTATCGATTAGCAATGTCCGGTTAAGAAATTCTGGTTTGAGGCTTGGTTTAGATATATATAATCGACTATGAATATGAAAATGAAAGATCATAACTCATGGGTTTTTTTTGGCTTAGGAGGGGAAACTGAGGATCTTCCAGTACAATACAGCGGCTACCTCAAACTTCACTGGACCAAATACCTAACCTGAGGAGAAGAAGTTACACCTAACCTGAGGTAGCGTAGAATTATTATAAAGAAGGTTGGATCTTTGTCAAAAATGAAGAAAAAGACCTAATTATAAGGATGATCTAATTGACTAACATATATGATTTCTACAGATGCATTAGAGTGGTAGCAGGCAAGAAGCAAACATAGGTTTCAACGAATCTTTTCCACACTCTCTTGACAAAGAAATGTAAAAATGAGAACGAAAAAAAAAAGAATTGGTTTAGTTTTGGTTTTAAGGTTTGTAACAACGTGACATTTCCTCTACAGATTAAGTTAAATATATAAACTAAAATATAAATAGGCTTAAATGGGTACCCATTTATTTGTGGAAAACCTCATTTAATAAATGGGTTTAATTGGGGTAATCCATTTAACCCCAATTAATAAATGGGTTTAATTGGGGTAACCCATTTAACCCCATTTAACATTTTTCCCTAAATGGGTTTAAATGGGCTAATTTTTTTTGTACATACCCATTTATTAAATGGGGTTCCATGCCCAAATTAACATCACTAAGATTAACAAAGGAGTCTTGTTCCTTAAGTAATCAATCTTATGATGCTGAGTCAGTTTTAGTAAGCCTTGCACTCTTCACTCTTTCTTCCTCTGTTACATTTTCAATTCATAATTTGGATGTACATATTATATGTTTGGTGCACTCACTTGCCACATTATTTTTATGTTATCAGTTTCATCTAGGATTCGATATTTGAACTGATGATAGTAAAAGCCAAAACTATATTTCCAAATTATGCTAACTAATCCTACCAAATCAATATTTTTAAGTTTTTTATTTTATTTATTTATAAAGAAGGAGCACTAGATTCAAAACCCTTTATACATGGGGCTGGGGGTTTGGGGTTTGAACTTTGAACCCACCAGCAGACTGTGATCCAACACCTAGTCGGGGTCTATGTGATTCTAGACGGTTTAGGTGTTTACAACATAACATATTATAAATATGATATCATAGATAAAAATCATATAAAACTATCTGTTAGAAAAATAAAAATATTAAATCATAAACCAAAATGAGACAAAAACATTTCTTTAATTCATATCAAACAATATACAGCTAAAACTCTTGTAATTAGAAATTGGAAAAATACACTGATACGAAACTTATGCAATTTTAGGCGGTCGACGCAGCCATCTAGGCGTCACCCGAACCCACCAGACAGTAACTGGACAAATTAAACCATATATCCCACTACAAGCTCTCAATATATTTCCAAATTATCCAAACTAATCCTACCAAATCAAAATTTCTTAAGTTTTTATGTTATAAAGAAGAAGCACTAGAAAAAATACAAATTACACCACATGATCATTACATTTCCCCTATTTAAATCCCATCCAACTTCTCCAACCCATCAGCATCAAAATAAAAATCAGCCATTGGATAAGAGAGTGAACAACGATGAACGTCGACAAGAGAGGCGAAACCAAGAAGATCCCTGTGGTTGATCTAAGCGATCCCAGCGACGAGCTTGTGGCTCATGCAGTGGTGAAAGCGAGCGAAGAGTGGGGGATTCTTCAAGTGGTTAACCACGGCATTCCTGCGGACTTAATGCGACGCCTTCAAGAAGTCGGGAGGCAGTTTTTCGAGCTCCCGGCTACCGAAAAGGAATCTGTCACAAGGCCGGTGGACTCCCAAGACATCGAAGGTTACTTTCCCAAAGACCCAAAACATTTAAAGGCTTGGGACGATCATCTGATTCACAATATCTGGCCACCAGCGTCTATCAACTATAGATATTGGCCTAACAATCCTTCAGATTACAGGTACTAAAACATGATTTGGAAGTCCATAAAACTTAATATTGTATATAAGGTTATATAATAATATAATACAAACAAAGTTTTATGTAATAAATAGTATACACGTTCAAAAAAAAAAAACTTATTCCGTTATTTTTTACCATTAAAAACATTCAAGTGCTTACATTTTTAGTGTTATTTAGAAAAGTGATTCCGCTATATAGATTATTCTGTAGCCGAAAAATAATAGTTTGATTTTGGAGTGATGACGGTTTTAGGGATGTGACTGAGGAGTACACAAGGAACGTGACGAAGCTAACGGAGAAGATTGTTGGTTACTTATCAAAGGGGTTAGGGTTACGACATGAGGCCTTGAAAGAAGGTCTAGGCGGGGATAAAACACAGTATGTGATGAGGATCAATTGCTATCCGCCGTCGGATTTAGTTATCGGAGCACCGGCGCACACAGATCTCTGTGCACTCGCACTTCTTGTCTCCAACGAGGTTCCAGGGCTTCAAGTGTTCAAGGATAACCACTGGTTTGACGTTGAGTATATCAACTCCGCAGTCATTGTACTCATCGGGGATCAGATCATGGTCCGTTTGTGTTTGGTTTTTAACTTTGGAAATGTTTTTGGGGTTTGGTTTCTAAAATGTGTGAATTGCAGAGGATGAGCAACGGGAGGTACAAGAACGTGTTACACAGATCAATAATGGATAAGGAAAAGACAAGAATGTCGTGGCCGGTTTTGGTAGAGCCTAAGCATGGTTTGGTCGTGGGACCTTTGCCTGAGCTCACGGGAGATGAGAATCCTCCCAAGTTTGAGTCTTTAACTTTTGAAGACTACGTATACCGCAAGATCAAAAAGCTTCTTCGTGATTGATGCTAAACCTCAGAAAAAGCGTTTATGACATTATGTTGTGACAAGACAGTGGCACTAGCTTAAATGTTTTAGAGCAAGCCCAATGGGCAGTTCTTAAGAGATTTTAGGACTAAGTCCTTATGAAAATGGGCCAAAAATAAATAAAAAATGTGAGAACAGTTAAGGTTCGTTCCTTAGTTTAGGTTTTTTTCTGATTGTAAGAAACGCATACGTGGCACGATTTAATTGGTTGGTAAACAGAGAAAACAAAAAAAAAAATTTCTTCCTCGATTTCATTTCTCTCTCTCTCCTTTCTTGTAAACTCCGACGGCGAAAGACGATGCAAACTTCTCGATCTTCATCGTCCGGCGTCATGACCATCAAATCGGAGCAGAAAAGCCGAAGAGTTTTGTGTGGATCCGTCGTCGTCCCCCTCGAGCCATCGAATCCGGTTCGCTTGACTCATCATAGCCAGAATTCGATTCGCAGGTCGACAATAAACTGGCTTGTTTGTATTTATGGGTCTTTAGAGATTCTCAAATATCAAGCTTCTTCAAAATTGGCTTTAGATCTAGGAACTGCTAATACAATTGCTTAACATCTTTCGTCTATGCATTGTATCTCCGTAAATGGGTATATTAGGTTTTGATTCTCAGTGGCCTATATGTTAGGCTATGCTAGTTTAGTTCAATATCACCACTTACTCTCTGTGTTGTGCCTAACTACTAAGGGAAATATGATTTCTGATTTTGTTTGCTTTAATGTTTTGCTTTAGTGATTTGCTTTAGTATCATCACAGTTTGTATCATCACATATCATCACTGTTGTGTCGCTTGTGATTCTTGTTCTTTCTGCACTTTGTATCTATGTTTCTCGTATGCTATATGCTTTTACTCGTTAAAGACATGGTTTGTGATTAAGATCTCTGGTCAGTTCTTAAATGGTTGTATGTTTGTGTTATTTCAGATGGATAAAGATAAAAGGAATAATGAAACGAGAATGGTGTGGCTAGTGGTGGTGATGGAGAACCTTTTCTTGTTACAAGAAACGGTGAACTTCCTCCTAGATGGGGTGGTCCTAACGGTACAATGCTTTTGGTGTGGTGAGAAGCAATTCGTCTCCCATGGCTCCAATAACTTTGTAATTTCTTGCAGAACAGATGGAAAACGTTGGTTCACACATCAAGCACATCACCACAACAACGAAGAGGAAGACCAGTGCCTCAAGAACTGCAAGACAGAGTCCTAGCCATGTTCGTGTGTCTAAGTGTAGGCTGAGTATCTTCAAGAAGAAGATGATGTTCTTTCTTGTATAGTTTTTTTTTTTTTTGATGTGTTTTCAAATGAATCTTGTATACTTTGTCATATTATTGTCATGAATCTTTGTTATCCAAAATGTGTTTATCAAGAATGTATCAAAAACTTGTATACTTTATCTTCTATTTCTTTCTTTTCAAGCAATCAAAACTCAAATACCATACACCAAATTTGTGTTTTTCTTAAGGTCCTTACCATTGGACATAAATATTTTTAAGAGTCCCTACGAAAATCCTTAACTTTATATTTGTCAAAATTTACAATTAAAAAATTCTTAAGGATGTTTTAAGGATCCCTACCATTGGGGATGCTCTTAAATCTCCTATCATTGTTTTCAATGTTTTTTTAATATTTGTTTCAGAATAAAAATATATTTTGGTTGAACGCATATTTTACTTCTTTTTTTTGTTTAAGGATAAAATGATTACAACTCCATAGAAATACATAATTGTGAAATAAACCTAATTCCTAGCGGTAAGGTTCTAATTGTCAAGAATTTATCGTCCAAGGACACGAAAATCGGAATCTTGAAGTATGAGACATGTTTGATCTGTGTATATTGTACATGTCTTGGATCGATAAGGTTCCAAGCTATACATTCCAATCATATTGATATACACTCTTTTTGTGAGAGATAGCTTTGTGGTTACGAGAAAGAAAAGAAATGTATCCGATCACGATAAATCGTTTTCTAACCTATTTCTTTCAGTCCTATGCAACTGATTACACATGTGCGCCAATTGGATGCTTCTAGAACTTTGTAAATGCACCTCTACCAGAGTATCATAGGTCGGTCCTGAGATATTGGGGGCCAAAGTAACATTTTTTTTTGTTGGGTTATTGTAAACGTTTTTGAAATTTGGAGAAGTTTTTCATAGAACTAAATATCTCTGATGGCGCGATCGAGGGTTGCCTGAACCGCAGAAATGAGAGAGGGAGAATACTCTTACTTTGCTTCAAAGACTCGAAAATACACAAAAAGGACTCTAAAAACAATACATATATCATGGTTAAAAACCGCAAAACTATGATATATCAAGATTTTCCATAAGTCGAATAAAAATTAGGAGAGATCATGAAAACACTTGAAAACATTTATCGTACGGAAATGTAAGATATATCACGTTTGACTTGTTTTTATGCATGAAAAAGGCTATCTCCAACCAAATCTGGCGCATGACACAATCAAGTGAAGCCATGACTTAGGACATCAAATTAAAAGGGCATATTTAAATTTTTTTTAGGTCTTTTATGTTAAAAGAAAAGGAATTATAAGTTTTTTTAAAAAAAAAATTGTTGGGCTTTCTTTTTATTATATTTTGTGGATTTTATGCCTTTAAATTAATAAAATGTTAATTTTGTCT